CACCAACAGGGCACAAAGACGGCCCAAAAGGGCACAAAGATCGCCCCCAAGCGGCCCCCCAACAAGAGGGCCCCAAGTCGGCCGAGGTTGGCGCTCAGACGGCCCTCAAGGTCCCCCCAAAAGCCCCAAGACAACCCAGAGAGCCCCCCAAGAAGCACTCGAAAGCACCCATACTGTCCAAGAGTGCCCTCAGACGGCCCAAGGAGCCCCCAAGAGCCCCCGAGGCGGCCCTAAGGCGCTGCCAAGAAACCAAAGGGGGCCCCACAGAACCCCTCAAGAGGCCCCCAGAACTTTCAAGAGGCCCGAAGTGCCACTCTTGACGGCCTCCCATGCCCCCTCGAATGGTCGCCACCCAACATGCTGGACTGGCACGGTGGCAGAACTTGCCGCAGACAGCTAGACATAGTCGCGAACGCAGACAGGGAATCCGAGAGGATGCTATACTCCTCCAGAGGGCAGCGTGGCACAAGAAGGCCAGAGGCTACACCTGGTACTAGCTGACACGGACTGAGAGGACAGACCTGGGGAGCCTACAATTGTCAAGGGTCACAGGTCTCATCGGCCGTGGCCGGATTCAAAAAACGTCGAAGCCCGTGGGTTCCCCAGATGGATCAGGAACACAGCTTTCAGGCAGACTCTGAATGTCAACGCGAACGTGGCCTCTGGAGGCCCTCAGAGGGCTCCAGAGGTCCCGGGAGAGCACTTGGGGGGCAAAAGCGTGGAAAACGTCGTAAAGTCTCCTCCTCCTCCTCCTCCTCCTCCTCCTCCTCCTCCTCCTCCTCCTCCTCCTCCTCCTCCCCCTTACCCTCCGAACACTTGACACCTGATGCCTGCATTGTCGTCTGACGAAGCTTCCTCCTCCTCCTCCTCCTCCCCTCCTCCTCCTCCTCCTCCTCCTCCTCCTCCTCCTCCTCCTTCCTCCTCCTCCTCCTCCTCCTCCTCCTCCTCCTCCTCCTCCTCCTCCTCCTCCTCCTCCTCCTCCTCCTCCTCCTCCTCCTCCTCCTCCTCCTCCTCCTCCTCCTCCTCCTCCTCCTCCTCCCCCCCCGAGACGTCACAATGCTCGCGTCGTGGGCCCTCGGAGAAAGACCAAACTCTTGAACAAGATCGGGGGTTGCTAAAGGTGCCTCTGGTCCAAGGTGCCCCCAGCTTTTCGCCCAATGGCGGAGTTCCTGGGGGATCCCTGGGCCTCGTGAGGGGTGCTCTGGAAACCGTGGGGGGCGTCCCTGGGGGGGGCACCTTGGGCCAGGGGCAATTCTAGCAGCATCTGGCGAGAGCATGCCACTGCAGCTGGTCCGAGAAGCTCGAGGCCTGGGCCTCGGGAGGTGCGCTCCGCAGCCCTCCAGGGGTTTTTGTCTCTGGACTCTCGCGGCCGCCGCAAGCGCCCCCCCCCACCCCGAGGCCTCGGGAGGCCCTCCAGTCTACGCTGGAGGCCTCCAGAGGCTCCCTGCTTCCCCTGCCCCCCCCCCTCCCTCCCCCCTTCCCCTCCAACGTCCCCCTGTCTGCCCCCCCCCCCCCCCCCCCCTCCTCCTCCCGGAAGGCGCCCAGGGACACATCAACAAGTATATACATGAATCCCACGAATTTCCCCCACATGTTCCATCCATGCTCTGCAGGTTCGTCTCCTCCACCACTTCCAATAATTCCCAGAGTTTCTGGGAATCGGCGATTCTGTGTGCCTGTGTGCTTTTCCCCTCCTGACTTCCTTCTGCCCCCTCCCCACCTTCCCTCCTGCCGTCCCGCCCCCGCCCCCACGATCCACAGCCTCATCTGGCGCTCCCCACGCTCTCCTCGCCCTGGCCGCGTTGGACAGGTCGAGATGACTCCGAACTGTAGGAAAATAAACACCTGCCTTGGCAGTAACTTGGGGAGGCCCGCGCGGAGCTCCAAACGCATGCTTGTGTAAGGGTTGACCCTTCCATGTTTGACAACAGGGCTGAGCCTAAACGGTGTGTTTCGTTATCGTGCTGTTTTCGTTCTCCCTCGCTTTTGTCTCGAGTCCGCCTTCACCGCAGAACGAAGTCGCAACGAAGACGGCCCACAAAATCACCAACGAAAAACCGTTTAGCTGCTGGACAAATTGCATCCCAGGCCCCAGAATGCCCGCGTGCCGACTCAGACAGGGAGGGCTCGGCGGGCAGTGTGGAAGCCACGCGGCGAAGCAACACTGTAGCGCAGATGGCCTCGGAACCCTCCAGGCTCCTCGTCGTCGTGGTCGTGGCTTGTGTCGTCATCACCACCATCATAAACGCCATCGCCATCACCATCACCATCACAAGCACTGCCATGACCATCGCCACCACGACCACCATAGCCATCACCACCACCAACACCAACATCACCACTGGCACCATCACCATCCCCATCCCCATCCCCATCACTACCATCAGCATCGCCATCATTATAACTATCATCATGATCAGCATCCTCATCCTCTTCCTCATCATCAGTATCAGCATCATCATCAGCATCATCATCATCATCATCATCATCATCATCATCATCATCATCATCATCATCATCAGCAGCATCATCATCATCATCATCATCATCATCAGCGTCATCATCATCAGCATCGCCAGTGTCGTCATCATCATCAGCATCATCCGTATTTTCATCACCATCATCAGCATCATCAACATGGATACCACCAGCATCATCAATATCATCATCATCATCATCATCATCATCATCATCATCATCATCATCATCATCATCATCATCATCATCATCATCATATCATCATCATCATCATCATCATCATCATCATCATCATCATCATCATCATCATCATCATCATCATCATCATCATCATCATCATCATTATCATCATCATCATCATCATCATCATCATCATCATCATCATCATCATCATCATCATCATCATCATCATCATCATCATCGCCGTCGCCAATAGCCGTATCGCCATAATCATTTCCATCATCAAACGCCTCATCAAACTCTGTGTCAGCATCCACCACCACGTCACCCAAATTGTGCTAATCCTGCGTCTCCTCCTCCCCCCTATCATCATCAGCAGCAGCATCACCATCAGAATTGTCAGAATCAACATCGTCATCACCATCCAGCATTCTCATCATCAGTACATCATCCTCATCATCAGCGTCATCAACATCATCAGCATGACCACAATCACCAGCATCACAATCCTCACCGGCATCACCATCAGCATCATCATAGCTATTCGTAGCATCAACACCATCATCAGCATCAGCATCGTCATCAGCATCAACATCATCATCTTCATCAGCATCGACATCATCAGCATCACCATCCTCATCATCATCATGAGCAGCATCGTCATCGTCGACGGCATCATCATCATCACCAGCATCATCATCATCAGAATCGACATCGACATCGCCAGCATCAGCATCATCAGCATCATCACCATCGACAACAGCATCATCGTCACCATCCCCTTCAGCATCGCCAACATAGGTATACCCCGTGCATCGTCGTCTTCGCCAGCAATGGCATCATCAATACAATCAGCAACAGCATCATCGGCATCATCTGTGCCCGTATCAGTATCAACATCATCACCAATAGCAACAGCAGCATCGGCATCGTAGTCGTGCTGATCATCATCATCATCATCATCATCATCATCATCATCATCATCATCAGCATCATCATCATCATCATCATCGTCGTAAGCAGCATCATCATCATCACCAGAATCACCATCATCAGCCTCATCATGACCAGCATCGTAAGAATCATACTCACCACCATCACCAACATCATCCTCACCAGCATCATCACAAACATCGTCATCATCAATACCGTTCTCAAATGCATGGTCGTGTGCATCGTCATCATCATCATCAGCATCGTCAGCGTCATCATCGTCAGCATCAGTATCAGCACCAGCACGGGCACATCAGTCAGCATCGTTTGCGTCAGCAGCCCAATCAATATAATCATCAACATCAGACAGTATCGACGGCGTCATCAGTACCATCATCAGCAGCAGCATCAGCAATCGCATGATCAACGTCACAATCGTAGTCGTCAACACCGTCACCAACAACAAAAACATCAGCATCGTCAACATCATCATCAGCATCATCACCGTCAGTATCAGCATATCATCAGCATCATCCTTATCATCATGATAATCAGCAGCATCATCTTCATCATGAGTATCATCGTCATCAGCATTAGCAGCAGCATCGTCATCATCATTATCATCATCATCATCATCATCATCATCATCATCATCAGTATCATCATCAGCATCATCATCGTTATCAGCATCATCAGCATCAGCAGCATCAGCATCACCATGATCGTTATCGGCATAATCAGCATCACCATCATCAGCATCAGCATCATCATCCTTATCAGCAGCATCGTCATCGCCGCCATCGAGAAAATCAGGTTCCTGCGCATCGCCAGGATCAGCATCATCACCAGCATCACCATCGTTATCAGCAGCAGCATCACCATCATCACCAGTATCATCAGCATCAGCAGCAACATCACCATTACCATCATCAGCAACAGTATCAGCATCAGCATCATCATCAACTTTATCAGTCATCGTCAGCATCGTCATCAGCAGCATTATCACTATCAACAACACCATCATGATCATCGTCATCATCGCCACAGTCCTCAGCATAATCGGCATCGTTAACAGCAGCAGTAGCAGCATCATCGTCACAACAATCTTCCTCTTCCGGCTCCTCTTCCTCCTCCTTCTCCCCCTGCTCCTTCCCCTGCTCATCCTCCTCCTGCTGCTCCTCGCCCTCTTCCTGTCTCTTGTCCATCCCATCCTTTATTTTCCTGTGACGCTGCTTGATGCATGCGCTCATGCCCTCGTCCCCCTTCGCCTCGCCTCCTCGCCCCTCCTCCTCGCCTTCCTCCTCTGCATCGTCGTCCTGCTCCTCCTCCTCCTCCTCCTCCTCCTCCTCCTCCTCCTCCTCCTCCTCCTCCTCCTCCTCCTCCTCCTCCTCCCCCTCATAGAAGCAGACGCGCTGACGGACGGGGCGCTCAATCGGTTTGCCCGTCGATCCTCCCGCGCGGCACTACGTGGACGGTCAGTCCGCCGCGCTGTCACTGGCGTTAGCACCTAGCTGGTCAAAGACGTCCCTCCGCCGTGCGCCGTGCACGTCACGCGCCGACCCGGCTGGACGGGGGCACGTGGGCCCATGACTACGCCATGGCCGCAACACGCCCCTTGAATCGACGCGAGGGTCCAGCGTGTCCACGGGGGGCGAACCCTGCCTCGCCGCCGCAGAGCCCGCCGCCACTCACGGGAGGAGGCAGGGAGAGAAAGAGGCGTGGATGGAGCGCGGGGGGGCGGGGAGGAGGGCAGGAGAGCGGAGTGCCGCCATTTCCCCAGGGACTTCGTCGAATCATGCTGTAGCCGTTCACGGCTTGCTGCCCTGGCTGGTGCCATCCCCGAGGAAGCAGGACAGAGAAAACTATGGGGAGGGAGGGAGGGAGGAGGGAAAAGAGGGTGGCCGCATAAGGCAGGGTCTGTCACAAAGGATAAGGACGGCATCCTAGTGGAAACAAGTCATGGTCCATGGGGCCTTCCCCGAAACGGGCTGTTAATCCCTTTGTAGGCGGTCATGCAGTCTGGGAGCGCTCTGAAAGGTTGAACCACTAGTGGAAAACCTACAAGACGAAAGTCCACTGGGAGAGGGGGAAAGAAGGAAAGTGTCACGGGCCCAAAGGTGCCCTCAACAATGGGAGCAATTTGGGGGCGCCTGGGGGCAGATGGGTCCACTCACGGGTATTCCGAACGTTATATGTGATGGGCCCGCCTGGGCATCATGAGAGCATACCAGCGAACCCCGAGGGAGGGAGGAATCAGCAGAGAACTGGTGCATGTAATCAAATTGCCATGTTCTAAGGAAAGCGAGCAAATCCTCAGACCTCATGGCTTCCCTTCATTGCGGGGAAAGGACCCGGAAGGGCGGACGATAAGGAGGGGGAGAAGGAGGAAGGAAAGGAGGATAAATATAAGGAGGAGACACGCGGAGGAGGAGGAGGACGAGGAAGAGGAGGAGGAGGCGGAGGCGGACAAGGAGGAGGAACCTGGGGGCGCACTGCCCCTCCCTACGCATACGAAGAGGCCCATCGCCCTACAACCCGTGCAGACGACCCCGACGTCCCGCCTGTGAGGACATTCGGGGTTGTTTACACAGACTTCGGAGCCCCGGGGCTGGGGGCTGGGGTGAACGTCTCGAGAAATACGCGCAACATTCTGCTTGCCTTACGCGATTGACGATGCGGTTTGCACAGATAACTGCTGTCTGTCGAGGCCGATGCGCCGCAGACAGAGTAGGAAAAAAAAAAACTCTGGTCATGAACGCATGCAGTGCGATCTGTGCACATCCAGCCCACCAAACAGAAGTGGGACCCTGGGCCGCGGAGACACCCATCGGAAAAACAAGCCCTCCCCTGGGAATCGGGGGAGGAGGGGGGGCACGCGACGCGTCGGCGGCATCCGGACAAGGACAAGTTCGCGACGGCAAGTGCAAGGCCAGAGCCCCCGAATGGTCTCCCAAGGGTGCTGGACGCGGCGAAACGCTACCTGGAAACGAACCTGGGTCGGTGGACGGGTGCGCCAGACGCGATCCGAACTCCAAGGGAAAATCGCGCTCGTGAGCGCGCGACAGGCCCGACGCCTCACGGGGGCAGCGATGGCATCCCATTCGTCGGTCCGAGGCGCACTGCCGACGGCGCACCGGGAAGCCCTGAGGACCGCGCCCCCAGCCGCCGCATCAGCACATTGCCCACAGCAACATACCGCAGCAGAGCCTCGCGCCCGACGCGCTCGACATCCTCGCCGAGATGACTAGGAATCCAAACAACTTCGATATCAGCTGGGACCGCTCCTCCAGCTCGAAGGGCGGCCCTCGCAAGCGCCCACAAATGTCCGATGCCCCCGATGCACAGGTCGAAACGCCTGGCGTTCCAATCGTCGAGCAACGAGCGACAGCGAGCGTGGAAACGAATTTTTCCAGTCGACCGCTCGAGGCACAGCACAGGGGCAAAAAACTCAGCCCTGAGCGCAGTCTGCCTGGGCCCCCGCAGGCAGCCGATGACGACGGCGGCCGGCGCCCAAGACACTCCGTCAGGCCGTTGAACAATAGCAGCTGCTCCGACGCGGCGCTGGCGAGGGCCCGCTGCGCGCGGGCCGCCAGAGCCGTCGCCGAAAACATGCAGCACCTGGTCGCGCTCCGACCTGCACTCGTCGAACGGCTCGCCGTGGGCCTATCCAGTCGGCCCGACACTCGTCGAAGGTCGGCGCGGTCAGCTCGGATGGGCATGCTCCGCGAAGCCACAGCGCAGGGCCTTGCCCCCAGCCAACTCGATCGCGACCAACGAACCATTCACTTGCATCAGCATCTGCATGGCCCGCGCTGCGCAGAAAGCTCCAACTTCGACGAAACAAGTTCTCCTTCTCAGGCAGGCACCGCTGGCGCAGCGCCTCAGAGCCACGGCCCGCCTGCTGCCGACTCTCGCGGGCCCACTGGCCGCCGCTGACCACGACGACGGCTTGCGCTCTCAGGTCGAGGTCGCCCGTGGCCACGAAGCGCCGGCACCCCCGCTGCACGCGCATCCTGTCGGCCCCGTTGACCAGGCTGTCGCCAGCAGAATGAAGGGGTGCACCCCGCCACATGCGACGACGAAAACCGGCGACCACGTGCTCGAGCAGCTCGGAGACGTCGGCAGCAGCAAACCAGTCGCCAAACTGAGTCGGGCCCTGTAGGCCGCTTCCATAGCTGGTCCGACTCAGAGCGCCAAGTCTGCGTCCAGCAGAGCGGCGACGACGGCGGCCGCGGGCCCGCGGACGCGGCGCCATCGTTGGGGCCCCGCCCGGATGAGAGCCGACAGCAGGCGGGGCCACGCGCGCCTGACGCGCTATGGATGTCAGGTCGAGCCCGCCACAGCTCAAGCCTCGGGCCCTTGCCGACGGCAGCCGCGGCAGCGGCGCGGCCCCAGCAGCGTAGACGGCACCACACCCGCAACTGACTTGTAGATGTCGGCCCTGCGCATCTCACGGGCGCCGACGGCCCTGAGCGCAGCATCGTCGATGAACGCCCACGGCTGGGCCCGCTCGCTGGCGCGGCGCGCGCGCGAGAGATCGCTGGCCCGAGCAGCACCATGGCCAGCATGTCACCACGGCAGGACCCGCCACCACAGACAGCACTGCTTGGAGCCGACGCCCCAGCCAGGTGCCTTGGCGGAGATAGCGGGGCCCTGCGAGCTGCCCTTCCAGAGCTGCGACGACGGCGGGGGAACCCCGCATCGCGGCGACGGCCAGCACGCGGACGAAGGAGATCGAGTCGCAGAACTTCCCCATGTCGAGGAGGAGGGCGAGGGGAGGGGGAGGGGATTGAAAGCAAGAGGAGAGGGATGGAGGAGGAGGAGGAGGGGAGGAGGGGGGGGAGGCGAGGGGACGCGAGGGATGCGGGAAGGGACGAGGAAGATAAGGAGGATGAAAGAGGACCACTCTTAACCCAAGATACATCCACGGGTGATTTCATCAGTCCCCACAAGACTACGTTGAACGACCCGCACCCTAGGGGTGTGCCATTCACACGACAATCCCGGTGCAAAAAGGAACTGACTGCATTGCAGTCGTCTAACGAGTGAGAAGGAATGCGCGAATACTTGACTATACAATTCAACGAGGTGTCAAGCGAGATCCCCGTGGTGAGAAAGGACCGTCCCCATCTGTGTAGCGCTTGCACACGTGTTCACGTCTCAGCGTGAGTGACAAGGAAGTCTCAAGCGGAAAACCTAGTGTGAAAAGGAGCAGCCCGCCATCCCATCCGTGAAGCTGTACTACGTGCTCAAGCTCCTGGTCTAAAAAGTCCGTCACCGTGCCGCCTGGCACGTTGAGGCGTGGAAGAATGCCGAGGTCTGCCTGCTAGGTTTTTTGTCAATTCTAATCAGGGGCCGCTCCTCCCTCCACCAGCAGACTGCCGCATGCATCGCTCCTCATTTCCGAAGCCATTTCCGTCGTGCCCGCTCGAGGAGGGCGCGCTTCCAGCATGGCAGCGACTGCCTGACCCACCCTGACACGCGTGCCCGCTCCAGGATTGTGCACTGCCCGCATGGCAGCTACTGCCTGAGCCCCACTTCCACGCGTGCCCGCTCGGGGAAGGCGCACTTCCCGCACGGCAGCGCATGCCGGAACTCTCATCCCATGCGCGCCCGCTCGAGGATCGCGCACGTCCCGCACGCATCCCCCCCCCCGCTGCGCCCAAGCGCTCCAGGGCCTGCCAAAGAACAACCCCGCGTACGAAAAAACAGTGGATATGCGTCCCAAGCTTACGAGACGACCCGTGCGGGCAACCAAGGATGCCAAGATGGCGCAAAACGCCTCGAAGATGGCCCCAGGGCGTCCGAACATTGCCCCAAGACGGTCCAGGATGCATCCAAAAGGGCCTAAGAGGGCCACCAGAGAACCTCCGACAGGGTTCGAAGAAGTCCAAATCACTGGTCTTCCCAAAAATTGGTTTGAACAAATATTGCAGTCTCATCTGATCAGGCTGCCGTCAGCCCAGGACGGCTTACATATACTTCTCAAGATGGCCCAAGAGGCATCCAAGATGACCTCAGGACGGCGTCCCGTGGGACCCAAGACGGCCTTGGAAGGCCGTTGGATCATCATCCTAATCATCACCACCATCATCATCATCATCATCATCAGCAGCAGCAGCATCAGCATCATCATCCTCATCATCATCATCATCATCATCATCATCAGCATCACCATCATCATCATCATCATCATCATCATCATCATCATCATCATCACCATCATCATCAGCAGCATAGTCAGCATCAGCATCTTCATCATCAGCATCACCATCACCATCAGCATCAGCATCATCATCATCATCAGCATCAGCATCACCATCATCAGCATCATCAGCAGCATCATAATTATCATCATCATAATAATCATAATCATCAGCATCATCAGCAGCAGCACCGTCATCATCAGCGGCAGCATCATCATAATCATCAGCATCATCAGAAGCATCAACATGACCAGCATCATCATCAGCATGATTATGAGCATCAATATCAGCACCATCAGCATCCTCATACTCAGTATCAGCATCATCAACAGCATCAGCAACATCATCATCGCCATCATCATCATCATCATCATCAGAATCATCATCATGATCATCATCAGCATCATCAGCATATCAGCAGCAGCATCAGCAACAGCATCATCATTATCAGCATCGCAATCAGCATCAGCATCAGCATCAGCATCAGCATCAGCATCATCATCATCATCAGTATCACCACCATCATCATCATCCCTATCAGCATCAGCACCATCAGCATCGGCATCATCAGCAGCATCAGCATCAGCACAATCAGCATCAGCATCGTCATCAATATCGACATCAACGTCAACATCAGCACCACCACCATCATCAGCATCATCAGCTGCATCAGCAGCAGCATCAGCTTCGGCATCACAATCCACATCATAAGCATCGCCTTTATCAGCATCATCCTCATCAGAATCATCATCAGCATCAGTATCACCATCGTCATCATCATCATCATCATCATCATCATCATCATCAGCATCAGCATCACCATCAGCAGCACCAGCATCACAATCATCAGCATAAGCATAATCAGCAGCAGCAGAACTATCATAATCATAATCATACGCATCACCATCATCAGCAGCAGCATCATGGCCCTAATCATCAGCAGCATCGTCATCATCATCATCAGCATCATCGTCATCAGCATCATCATTATCAGTATCATCATCAGCATCATCAGCATCAAGATCAACAACATCACCATCGCCATCCTCACCATCATGACCACCATCATCAGCATTAACAACATCAGCATCCTCACCACCATCGCCATCATCATCGTCATCACCACAACAATCAACATGGAGCATGCCTTCCAATAATCACGATCGTTAGCACAGTCGATCAGCATCAGCATCATCATCATCATCATCATCATCATCATCATCAGCAGCAGCAGCAGCAACATCATCATTATCATCACAACCATCGTCATCATCCACATCATCCTCGCAATCCGCACCATCCCTGTCACGGCTGTCCCAAGCCTGGAGACACGAGGTGTCACACGTGACGGCCTCCCGTGGTCGAACAGTCGCAACCCAGAATGCTGGGCTGGCACGGTGGCTGGACTTGCCGCAGGCAGCTGGACAAAGAGGTCTCAAACGAACGGACCATTTTGAAAACGAAGCACGCTTGATCGGTGCAGCCGTTTCACATGGTCAGCTACAGCCTGAAAAGGAGCCACCCTCGAATATGAGACGAATGCACGCGGCGCCAAATCCAGATTCCCATTTCGAACAAGAGCCGCCCTTCTATCTTGAAGCAGTTTGCAAATTTGGAAGCTGTTTGTGGTCGGCGACAGGGCGAGAGCTTCAATGTTCAAAACGACACATCCCTCCCATCTTTGATACTGTCGCATTTTTGACAAGGAATGCGAGCGGCGCTCGAGCGAGAGCTCCAACTTGAAAACGGCGAGCCGTCCATCCTTGAAACGGTCGAAACTTTCGAGCTCCAGGATCACACGTGGCGAAAAAACCTCCAGCTGAACGCCCCTTCCGCCCTGCCGGCACGCCTGGGCGTGCGACAGGGAGGCGCTACGTGTCAGGAACACGCATGGAGGAGGGAGGAGATGGGAGGACGAAGGAGGGAGGAGGGAGGCGAGGCGAGGAGAGGAGAGGAGAGAGGAGGGGAGAAGACGAGGGGAGGTGGAGGGGAGGCGAGGGGAGGGGGAGTCTGGAGGGATTAGCGAATCCCCCAGCCGCCTGCTGCGCTTGAGTCGGGCGTGTCCCCCTACAGGGGGATTTTGGGTGAAGAGTAAAAGATACTCAAGAAACACCCCCCGAATATTCAAAAATGGTCAAAAAATCCTCCCCTGACTATTTTTTCGCTAGTTGTTGTACATTCCTCCTGTAGAGGGACAGGCCCGACTTAACCCCATCGCTGCCCATGATGAGAAAACCTCTCAGTAGGCGCGGGGACTTCCGAGCCTTCCGAGAAGGCCCGCTCCTTCTCGCCTCCTCCCCCCCCCCCGGGCGCGCGACGCCGAGGGCGAGGTTCGTCCCCTCTCGTCGGAGAGCTGGGCCCAGAAAAAGCGCTGAGGCTCGGCACGCGCAGAACACTTCTGGCGCTCCGCGCGGAGCGGCTACGCGGCACAGGGCCTCCGCACTCTGCAGGACCTCCCCTTTAGTAAACCTCCCCGTAGTGAAAACGGCCAATTCCTTTAATCGACGTGTCAGGGCAGGAGGTCTGTCCACCTCCGATCCTGTAGAGGGACAGGCCCGACTTAATGCTGCGCGGCACGGGGCCTCCGCACTCTGCAGGACCTCCCCGGCGCCTGCCGCGCGACCCACGGCGAGGCGCCCGGCGCTCGCCGAGGCAGGGGCGCCTTGCCTGCGCCCGCGGCGCGCCAGCCGGGCGGCCGGCGGCATCCGCCGTGCCTGCGTGGGCCCAGAGCACATCGTCCTCGTCCTCGTCCTCGTGCTCCCTCCTCGTCCTCGTCCTCGTCCTCGTCCTCGTCCTCGTCCTCGTCCTCGTCCTCCCCCCCCCCCTCCCTCGTCCTCGCCTTTCCGCCCTCCCTCCTCCCTGCTCTTCCTCCCTCCTTGCTCTTTCTATCCCGCCTCTTCCTCCCTCCCTCGTCCGCCCTCCTCCCTCCCTCCCTCCCGTCCGCCTCCCGTCTCCCTCTTTCCTCCGCGATGCGTTTGCGCCCGCCGAGTAGGGCGGCCACGAGTACTACCAAAACTGTTGTTCAGGTTCAGGTCACCTCTATTTTGTAGCAGGTTGGCTCCCTCAGACACTGCTGTGGCACGAAGCCGTTGGCCTGTTCGAACCGATCCCCCTCCTCCTCATCCTCCTCCCTCCCTTCCCAGACTACCATGACGTCTACGCTGGTTTCTGACAATGTGTGGATCGATCAGGCTTGAACCAACGGCTGAGTCTGACAGCGGACGTCGTTCCATCCGCCATGCGTCATCATCAACATCGTCAGCATCAGCATCGTCATCATCGTCATCATCGTCATCATCATCATCATCATCATCATCATCATCATCATCATCATCATCATCATCATCATCATCATCATCATCATCATCACCGTCATCATCATCATCATCATCATCATCATCATCAGCATCATCATCCTCATCATCAGCATCATGACCACCATCATCATTGTCATCAGCATCACCATCATCAGCATCAGCAGCGTCATCATCAACACATCCACCATCATCAACGCGATCATCAGCATCACCATCATCATCACCATCATCAGCATCACCATCATCATCACGATCAGCATCGTCATCAGCATGTCGTCATCATGATCATCATCAGCAGCATCAGCATAAGCATCATCACGTTCTATCATCATAACAAGCATCGTCATCATCATCACCGTCAGCATTGTCAGTACTGTCATTATCGTCATTGCAAGCGTCATATTTATCATCAGCATCATCATTAGTATCACCACGATCGTGATCACCATCATCATCTCATAATTGAAATCGTCATGTTCATCACCACTACCACCGTTGTCCTCGGCAACACTGACGGGGTGGCTGGCCAGTGCATTGACCGGTCCCTACACCTCAACTCGTCGTGGAATCGAACTCTCAATAACGTCAGCCGGCTTGTGGACTCGCTTGCGCTTCCCGCGATTCTTGTGATCACAGCGGGAGCGGACAGTCATGGGAGTCAAATCCGATCGTCCTGCTGCACACCGCAGCTTGCCGGGGCCTCGCGCGAGGCAGCAGAGTCCAGCGACTGCAGCATACGCGACCAGCCTGCACACATCGCCCCTGGCCGTCCGCGCCGGCGCCCCTCAGACACGGGGCCGACCTGCGCCGGCGAGACGAGCTGGCTGCGCCGGCGAGACGAGCTGGCTCCGCCTCAGGGGCGGAGCAGGAGCAGGGGGGCTGCCAGGAGCCTGCGCGGCCGGATCCCACCCACCGGCGCGAGGGCCTGTCCCGGGGGCTCGGCAGCGAGGGGCGCCTGCGCCAGGACCGCCGGCCGCGGCGAGATCGTCACAGACGCGCCCCGCGGCGCGCCAGGTGGAGGCTGCACGGCGGGCACCACGGCAACGCCCTGTGGCGGGCCAGCTGAGATCGCGCCGCCGCGCTTGGCACCATCCGCCCGCAGCGTCTTCTGCGCCGCCACGAATGCGCCCGGAAGGCTGCCATTCAGGCTGGGGCTGGCCCTCCCGAGGCTGGCACTGCTTCTGCTGATCAAAAGCGTAGGCATCGCCTGCTGGGCAGCCGGCATTCCTGCTGGTGCCGCCAGACTTCCCAGCTGGCAGGCCGAAGCTGCAGCCATCCTGGACTCGAGATCCGGCAACTGCTCGCACACCGCGGGCGCACAATCCAACATGATCTCCTGCCCCACGTTGGCCAGCCGTTCGCACTGCGTGCTCACGCAGTCTGGCATCGCCTCAGCAGCAGCCATCCTGGACTCGAGATCTGCGACGCTCTCACACACCGTGAGAACACCGCCAGGCATCGCAACCTGGCCCGCGTTGGTTGGCCGTTTGCAAATTGTCTGCACACCGTCTGGCATCGCCTCAGCAGCAGCCATCCTGGACTCGAGATCTGCCACGCTCTCGCACACCGTGAGAACACCGCCAGGTATCGCAACCTGGCCCGCGTTGGCTGGCCGTTTGCACATTGTCTGCACACCGTCTGGCATCGCCTCGGATACCCCACAACTGCCGGCGTCGCTCACGTAGCGTTCCCGCAAGCTTGCCTGCTTGCCAGACAGCACACATAACTCCTTGCGTTGGTCCTCTAGCAGGCGCTGCAGGCTGCCGTGGCCTGATCCAGGCGCTGCTCCCGCCGCTCCGCGGCGCTCCACCTGGTTTAGCCTGTCATCGACCCGACGGAGACTGTCTGTGAGCTCCGACAAGGTAAGTCTGAGCTCATCGAGCGTGGCCGGCTCCACCGAAGAGGCCTTGACGTCCGCCACTGGTGGCCACAGGCCCACATCCTGCGACCTCTGGTTTGGCCCAGTGCATCCGAGGCCTTCCATCGTGGAGGGCGTCGTGCACCCAAGATCGGGGAAGCCTGCGGCGCTCGCGCAGTCCTTGTCCAGCTTGCTGGAGACGCCCGCCGGATGGCGCTTCGCCGCCTCCAGCTCCTCGACGGCCTCGTGGGCCCGGGCGCCGTCCCCGCGTGGGCGGCGCTCCAGGGCCCGCGCCTGACCGAGCGCCAGCTCCGAGATGCGCCGGTGCGCCGCCTCCACCGAGCTGCGCACCCGCTCCAGGCCCGCAGACATCTGGCGCAGGCTCTGCGAGGCGTCCTTCGACTGCTCCGCCGCGGCCGCCCTCAGCTGGCACAGGTCCGCCCGCAGCTCCGCCACCACCTCGCGAGCGAGGCCGCCGCCGCTCCCCCGCAGCGCCAATCCCAGCGCGCCCTCCCACGACGCGCGCAGGGCCACCATGTCCGCAGCGCTGCGCTCCGCCACCCTGCTCAGCTCTGGGGGAACAAGCAATGACACAGACATAACAGCTCGGAGGTCCGCGCGGACTTCTCGCATCGGCGCTGAACCCCCCCTCCCTGGCGCGCGGAGCGCGCCAGGGGCGGCGCCGGAGGCGCCGCCAGGGCGGTCCAGCGCCGATGCGAGGAATCCGCGCGGACCTCTGAATTGTTATGTTTCTGTCACTTGCTCGCTCCCCGAAGCTCGCCCCTGCGCTGCTCCCGCTCGCTCTGCAGTGCCGCGCGCAGCTCGGAGACGGCGACCTCCAGCAGCGACAGCCTCGAGGCACCCGCCGCGGCCTCGGCGCGGGCCCGGGCGGCGTCGGCCTGCCGCGGGAGCGCGGGGTCGGACCCCGCCAGCCTCTGCGCCTCGCACGGGCAGCAGGTCGGCCAGTGCTCGCGCTCGGCTCGCAGGAGCTCCTCGGGCCCGTCCGCGGACCGGGGCCGGACCCAAACAGTGTCTTTCGCTTTTTCGCTTTGTTTGTTCGTTCTCCCTGGTTCTGTCAGTCTTGAACTCGCCCTCGCCGCAACACGACAGCGAAACGAAAACGGCCCACGAGATCGCCAAAAAAACACCGTTTGGGTCCGCCCCTGCCGCGGACGCCGGCGTGCCCGCCGCACGGTGCATGGCGCCCGGCGCTGCGCGGACCCTGCCGCGAAGAGGGGAGGCGGGACGAGGCGGGAGCCGCCGGCAGACGCGCCTCGGGCACCCGTGAGGCAAGAGCAGCAGGTGTGCCAAATGGTCGACGGGGGGGAAACATGAATCTACTTCAGAGAGAGGCCGCAACAGTGCTACGCCTCTCCGACAGAGTATGCAAATTACGCGTAATTTACGGTGGTCTTCGGGGGGGGTCTTGAGCGAGCGGCCCAACCCCCCGTCCGCCCTCCTCCCAAAAGACTTGATTGAGCTGCCAACCAACGGCATATGAGGTCGACGGGGAGGAAAGATGGAAGAGAGGTGTCAGGAGGCAACTACTGGGAGGTTTTCGTCGGAATGATCAAAGAGGATTAAGCCCCATTTGGGAGCTGTCACGCCGGAGTGGGCCTCGGATTTAAGCTGGATTAAGCGGGATTAAGCGGGATTAAGCGGGATTAAGCCGGATTAACAGGGATTAAGCCGGATTAAGCCAGATTTCGGACCAGGGCAAAAACAGAATTTGACCTCCCAGGAGTTGCATCCGAAGGAAGAGAGGTGGATAGGAATTCCCACGATGACGTTGATTTGCCGCTGCTGCTGCTGCTCCGCCACATTGCAGACTTCGATGACTTCAGGGCGCAAGCGAAGTGTTCGCCGAGCGTGTGTTCGCAAGCTGAGCGCTAGAACTAAACGTTAGCCGAAATCCAAGAACCCATGCAACCTCGATGAAAGCACCGTAGTGAAACCTGGGAAATCGGAGAAAGGCATGGCCGCGGCATGCATGGGCCTTTGTCTGGAGTCCGAAAAGTAGGCAAGCACCCGGTCCCGAGATGGATGAAACTCACACTAGCAGCCAACAGTACCGATGTAGAAAGGTGTTGCTCATTCTGCTGCGAGGCAGCTGCCATCTCTGCAGAGTGCGGGAGCATCGCACACCTGGACCTGCTTATCCCAGACCTCCGATGTCGGGATACTCAACTAGAAGGGGCCCCCGAGAGCCCGACCCCAGCCCTGGAACTAGTCTCCCTGGCGTTACCATCAAACCCAAGAAAACTTGAGCGTGAGCCTCAATGTCAAAGAAAATGCAGCCTTCGCAGAGGCGAGGTGAGAGCGCCCGGGGGGATATAGGGGCTCCAACAATAACAAGTGGTTGGATACGAATATCCAACAACAGCACGCATAATCCTTGTCGCGGAACTTCACTTCAGCCACGCACCCAGTGATAGTGAATGGACGTTCGGCCCCCCTGACGAAAACGGATGAGGAAGAGGAGGGTGGATGGAGAAAGAAGGTAATCCGAAGCCGAACCCAGTTCATGAAGCTCTGATCTGCTCCATCCCCACAAATCCGGCTGCTCTAATTTGTTCGATGCATGGGCCCCAGAGGTCTGGACTACTTCCCCAGGCTGGTGTTTCGTCCTGACCTGTTTTTTCGACGGTCCTGGGGCCCGGCGAGGGCCCCTGGAGACCGAAAACAGCCTACGACCGCCCACTCCAAAAATGTGCTCGGAGCGTCGGATCTCTAGGGAGGCCATCCGAAACCGAACCCAGTTCGTGCAGCCTTGACCTGTTCCATTAGAGGCCTCCTGGATGGGGTCGGAGTAGATGGGCTCGGATGATCGCGCCGCATCGCCGATACATCGGCGATACATCGGCGAGGCATCGGCGCTGTATCGGCGATGCACCGGCGATGCAATGTCGACATCGGCGATGCATCGGCGACGTCGACGTGAAGCGAATCGGCCTCCACATCAAGCCGCATCGGCAATGTATCGGCGATGCGGCGCGATCCTCCGACCCCACCTACAGTGCGGACGCGGCCACACGAAACCCTCGCAAGAAACCCAACCCTGAAAACCCGCGCGCGAGGTGCACCTGAGGAGAAACCCGGAGCACCCTGAACGCAGCAGTTTTTTTTGACTGCCGCGGGAAGTCACCGCGCAACGCGCGGAGCGAAGAAACCCACGGTACCCTGACGAGAAGCGTCTGGTTTCTTGCTGCGCGCCCCCGCTGTACTCCAACCCCACCTGGGAGGCCTAGATCCATCTACCTTGCCTGGACGGCCGCGGCCGATCTCACTGGAACTCTCAGCCCTCCTCCCCCCCTGGAGGGAGCCGCGGGCCTCCCGCAAGAGGCGCGCGCGACCGCGGCGCTCGCGCGCGCCGCCACCGCCGCCGTGCACTACGGCTCGTCGGCGAGCTCGGCCACCTGCCCGGCTGGCCCCCGGGGGGCGGGCTCCGAAGGCCCTCCGCCTCCCTGCGGCGAGGGGCGGCCGAAGCGACCCCCAGCGGACCGTCCCTTCCGTGCTTCTCTTCCTCCTCCTCCTCCTCCTCCTCCTCCTCCTCCTCCTCCTCCTCCTCCTCCTCCTCCTCCTGAGCCTTCTCTGAACCCCCCCTCGGCACTTCCCCCCTCGGCGAGCCGACGATCCACCGCCTCGGCTCGGCTCGACTATAGCAGGCACGGAGCGTGCTCGCTGCCTGCCGTCACCGGCCTCGGTGGTGCGGCGTGCAGTCTGCCTCTCGCGGTGTTGGACGTAATTAGGGATCCAGTTGAACATGGCAAAGGGGACACAGCGCGTGGAATGACCCAGTCCTCCGCCCCCCCCCCTTTCGCGCACCCATCCCTCCTCGAGGATCTGCATACACCGCCTCCTCCATTCCATTTCCTTCTGAATAACTGAACTCCTCCCTGTCGCACCCCGAGGCTGGTCGAAGGGGCGGGCTGAGCGTGTCGCATGAGACTTCCTCACCACTTATGACCCTGATGCTTCAAAAACGACAGCAGTTTCGCTGATTGAGGGCGGGTCGTTTCTGAAATGCGGCTCTCGCATTAGCGCCACGCACATTCGTTTTAAAATGTTGCAGCAGATGCACGGATTGAGGCCAGGTCGTTTTCAAAATGTGGCTCTCACCTCGGCACCGCGCACATTCGCTTTAAAGAATTGCAAGACTTTCAAAGATGAAGGGCAATTGTTTTTGCCATAATGTGGTTCTCGTTTTAGCGGCGCACACACTCGTCCTAAACTTTGCAAGAGTATCATCGATTCTCATGGTCAGCGTGTCAGAAATGGCGTGTTGGAACGACTCGGGATTGCCACGGCGCAACAATTACGTTGATTCGCGGTGCTGAAGTCCCAAAAATGGTGTCCTGGAGCGATTCATGATCGCCAAGACGCAACAGTCAGGTCAACCCGTGGCGTAAAAAGTCCGGGGAATGGTGGTCTGGTACGCTTCAAGATGTTCACACGGCTGTCCCCCAGCGGAAAAAAATCCCTCTGTGCAACGACCCATTGCACGGGGCCTATGCAGAAACATCTTGGAGGGAGTGTGTATGTCAAGATCGCCGATGAGTTTTGTGTTTGCACTGTTCCTCCTCCTCCTCCTCCTCCCCGCCCCCTCTGCTCTTCGTCCTCGTCCGCCACCTGGCTGTTTGGGGGTTCCCGAAAGCCTCCTGAAGCTTCTACGGACCCTTCGGGGCACGTCTGGGGCTCTCCATGGAACCTGTAGAAACCTCCTCCAACCCTAACATTGTGAGTGGTTCCGTCTTGTCGCAAGGGCCATTTTGCACGAGACACCTTCAAAATGCATGATCCTGGAACTTCCCAAACGGCTCAACAGATGACTATGGAGGGCGCATCGTTTGCAACGGGGTTCCAACCATCGCGCCGCGCACACTCGTCCCAAAAAGACCCCAACACTCACTTACACGGATGGAGGGCGGATGGTTTTCAAGAAGCGCCGCCCGCCCCGACGCCTCATCGGTTACACGAAGGGAGAGCGCGCCGCTTTCGAAATGTGTTGCTTCACCTCTCGTTTCAAACACGGCCGTCAATGAATTGTGTCCGCCACGTGCGTGCGCGAGAACGTCCGCCGATCCGGCGTGTGAGTTTAACGGGGAGGGGGTGGCCGGGGTGGCTCTGCCGGGATAAGGGGAGGGGATGAAGGGGGGGGGGGGGGTTCGGTCGCGCGGGTTCCAGTGGCGTGGGGGGGGGGCGGGTCTGGTCTCCCGCCCCGCCTGCGGACAGGAAGAATTGGGAGAAGGGTGGGGGGAAGGCCCGGTGGCCGGGGTGGCTCTGCCAGGACTAGGGGGAGGAAGGGGTTCCAGTTGCGCGGTTTCCGGTGGCGTGGACAGGAGGAATTAGGGGGGAAGAGGGGGAGGAGGGGGTCCGGCGGCGCGGGTCCCGATGGCGCGGGGGAAGGGAAGGGGGGGGGTCCGTGGCGTGTGAGTTTAAAGGAGCCTGAGCTACAGCGTCGAGGCTGAGCTTCAGCCTCTGGGGGGTTGCCGGGGTGGCTCTGCTGGGGGGGGGGAGGGGAGGGGAGGGGGGGGGCGCGCGTGCGCGGGGTAATGTTTGTCCGCGCGCGCGAAGAGAATCGGAGAAAGAGGGAGAGAGAATTGGAACGGGACAAGAGCTGAAAGCCGAGAACAACTGGGGGGAAGACGAAGGTGGCGATGGAATGCGTGTCTGTTGTGTGGTGTGTGCGTGTATGTGTTTGTGCGGGGTGCTCGGTGTGTATGCGTGCGTGTTGCCGGCGGCGTGTGCGTGCGCACGTGCCTGCGAAGGTGGCGCGCGTGTGTGGGTGTGGTGTGTGTGTGTGTCTGTGTGCGCGTGTACAGTCGAGGCGTTGACCTAAGGAACCCGAAATAAGGAACGAGGCCCCTATTTTCCATAAGTTGAACTTCGATTTCGTATCGAAAACCTAAGGAAAATCCAAGGCAAGCTGTGAAATACTTAAGGAACGCGGAGCCCCTCCCCAATCAAAAGGGTTCCTTCTTCAGGGCCCCGACTGTATGCGTGTGTGTGTGCGCGTGTGTGCGCGTGATGTCTGCGAGCGTGTGCGTGCGTGTCTGTCGGCGAAGTGTCGCCACCCAGTCTGGGGGGCACCCCCAGCGACCCGGATCGGCGGCACTGGCCGAAGGCCGCTACAATACAGAAAAAAGGTGTTGCTACATATTGGGCTCTCGCTCGGAACATCCTAACATATCCTGGCCCGAACCTTTCAAAGGCCCAACAGCTACACCACTGGAGGGAGACTCATTATCAAAATCCCCAACAAACCTCACCGCACGGTCAGTCACCGCGCGGTCTTGGGACCCTGGGGGCCCCCGTCGCCGGAGACGTCCTCAAGGAACGACCCACGTCCCGTAACCGTGCAGCCACCCCGAAGCCCTGCTGACTCACCACGCGGTGTGGTTACCGCACCGCCTGGATGCCCCCCCAGGTAGGCTCGCCGGGGAGGACCTTTTGGCCACCTGACCACGGCTCGACGTATGCCGACGAGGGCCAGCGACGGGGCCTCCCCCAAGACGCCGCGGGCCTGCAGGAGAGCCCAGCCAGAATCGAATCAATCAGTCGGATCGGCGATCTAAAGTCATAGGATCGGCGGAAACCAGCAGCCGAGTCGGGAGACGTCGAATTGGCGGAAATCGGCAAGCTAGTCGGCCTCCATTACGAAATCGGAGTGCAAATGGGGATCCGAAGTCGAATCAATTCGGAAGCCACCGAAATCGAATCGAATCGGAGGAATCGAAATGATCCCTGGCCTGGGACCTTCTTCCCCTAGGGTGCCCCATCCCTGCCCACCACGTCATCGGGGTCGTCCAGGTCCGCCTTCTGGGCCTCCACCCAGGTCGGGCGCCAGACGGGTGAGATGGCACAAGGAACAGGAACAACATGAGGAATGATGCTGTGGAGAGGAGGAGGAGAAGGAGGAGGAGGAGGCGGAGGAAGAAGAGAAAGATTAGATGGAGAAAGCGGAGGAGAGGGATGGTGAGGAGGGGGAGGGGGATTGGGGGCAGGCGGATGGGTGGAAGAACAGGACGGAGAAGGGCGGGGAACGGGAGTGGCAGGCGGAGACGCTGAGAGGTGAGGCCAGGCGGGATGTGAACGAGGACGGCGGGGGAGGTCCTCCTCCGTCACCGAGGAGGAAGAGAAGGAGGGAGCAGGAAGGAGGAGGACGACGACCAACTACCACGCCCGCCTCTAGGGCCTCCATGCGAGCGCGCAGCATCTGAGCCGCCGTGACGTGCTGCTTCAGGCTGCCGAGGTCCACCCGCGCACAGCCTTCTTTCCTTCCTTCCTTCCTTCCTTCCTTCATTCATTCCTTCCTCCTCCTCCTCCGCTTCCTCCCTCCTCCCTCCTCCTCCCTCCTTCCTCCTCCTCCTCCTCCTCCTCCTCCTCCCTCCTCGCCGGTCGGTCGGCACTCGTTGTCGGATCCCAAATATGCCAATGCGTGCACACAGGGCGGATCGGTGCGCGCAGAGGTTGATGGGCCGTGCCAACTCGCGCTGGCCAACGCGGTGGGGAAGGGGCCCCACAATCGCCCCACGGGGGAGACACGGTCAAGAAGCAGTCTCCCCGCCAGGGGGCCGCCGTTCTAAGAATCATCCCAGGCGCTGCCGCGTACTCGCGACCCCAAAGTCTTTCTGAATCATCATCCTGCATTGAGCCCAGAAGTGGGGTTGGAGGGAAACCGCTCTGGACGGCCCCCGGAAGATGGAAAAGCATCAGCCTCCCGCTGGGTTCGCTCCCTGACCCCACCTTGGGCTACGCCTCCCTCCACGCACCCGCGTTCTGTCACCCTCGTTCGCAAAGGTCATGAGTTGGAGGTCACGGTGGCGGGGGGGGCAGCGTTGTTTCAAGGGCCAGATCCTGATACGCTCGGCCAGCGCGCTTGATCTGTCGGTTGCAACTCCCTTTTTCGCAGGAAGCTCGGATCTCTGGTTGGCTCTTACCGTACGAGCATTACCCCCTCCTCCGTTGCCCCATAAACACAAGCCGCGTTCGCTGCATCTCAGCGAGCTTCGAACCACGAGCCCAGTTCAATAGGGCCGCTCAGGGGGCATCAGCACCCAGTCATCCGTCTTGGATCAACTGACCTGGCTCAATCCAAACCCGGCTCAGTCAGGCTGCGCAGGATCCTACAGGATCCTGCTCCAGGTCAGTGCAACCCTGGCCCTGCAGGATCCTGCAAGATCTGGCGCTCTGACTGACCCCCCTTGCATTGACTTGTGGATGCCACGACAATGGACACCCTAACGGTCCTATCCTTGGAATTAAAGTGTGTTCAACATGTCGGGAAATGCTCTAAACATGCTCTACACATGTTTTGTTTTACATGTTCAAGACATGTTACTTTACATGCTGTAGACATCTGGAAATCATTTGGCAGCACGCTTCCTCTCCGTTGATCGTCCTCCACATCTTTGGGCGCCCGAAATGGGCACGGAAAGAATGGGTACAGTGCCCAACAATAAATGTTGTCCCAAACCAACAGCGGCCGCTGTTGGGCAGGCGGCCTTCTGTCTCGAAAGGACACAGGCCGCGGCGGCGCGGACAGCGAGCCCTGTTCAAAATGAACAGGAACCGCTGTTGGACATCGTACCCATTCTTTCCGTACCCATTTCGGGCGTCCAGCACATCCCTCGAGACCCGAAGCCTGCGGCCCTCACTGCTTCCCGGCCGCTGGCCCCTGCAGCTCCCGAGAGACGCCCTCCTTTGAGGGAGGGCGCCCGTGCGCCAAAAATGCCCCCTCTGGGGGCCGCGGGCGGAGCTCCCCGTGGGGCGGGGCACGCTCCGCGCGAGGGGTGCGCCTGGCTCTGACACACGGCGTGGGCGCTCAAGGCCCCTGCATCCTCACATACCGCGCCTCCTCCTCCTCCTCCTCCTCCTCCTCCTCCTCCTCCTCCTCCTCCTCCTCCTCCTCCTCCTCCTCTCCTCCTCCTCCTCCTCCTCCTCCTCCTCCTCCTCCTCCCCCCTCCTCCTCCTCCTCCTCCTCCTCCTCCTCCTCCTCCTCCT